TATGGAATTATCAAATATAAGAAAGTTGTTTCTTATAAGAGTACATACGCGTATAAGAAATCTATTTCTTATAATAATATATTTTCCTAAAGTCAAATGTTGAAATGAAAAGCATGTTTTAAAGAACAATATTTTATTAAATAAAAGAATTCAGTATATAAAAATACAAAGTTACAAAATTAGATCACAGTTTGGCAAGAACAATTCAGTATATTAAAAACTAAAAATTTAAATAAAAATAACAAAATTCATAGTTTGACTAGCAATATTTAAGGGGACCCCCCCCCCCCCCATTCTCGGGGTCAATTTTTTTTGTTTATTTAATTCGATTCTACACTAATTCAAGAATGTCCCTACAAAATTTCAAATGAAAATCTCAAGAACTCTTGAAAATATAGCCGATTTATTGTGTCAGCATCAGGTGACAGTTAAAGGGCTTCTCAAACTTTAAACACGTTTTCTCTGTTGCGAATGGCGGGCACGATAACTCAAAAACTAATAACCCAATCGATTCCAAATTTTTACACGTTTCTCTGTGAGTGTATAGCTATTGTATGAACTAGGATAAAGTCAATCGGTGAAGAGCTTCCTTACTTTTGAACTTGGGTTTTGGTCAAAAATCGACGATTTTCCAAAAATATTTTTTCAAAGTTCCGCCATTTTGTTAATTTTAGAGCGAAGTCAATAATCCTAGTTCATACGAGAGCCAGACATGTACTCATTCTAACACCTTTGGAATTTTCGGATTCCAATGTTCCAGTGAGAAGTTATCATGCCCTCCATCAAAAATAAGGACTTTTCTTTAATTACAAAAAACAACAACAAAACAATAACAAAAATTTTTTGTAAATTATTTTTCTTCTCTTTTAAATCTTCAAATATATATGTGCAAAGTTACAAACCTTAAGAAGCATTGGTATTAATTTACCAGCTCATTAAAAATCTTGAAAAATTAATTTCGAGAATGGGTGGGGTTCCCTTAAACATATTCAGTGTGGCCAACAATCTTAAATATTTTCTTATATGACAGCTTTGGTGTTTGACAAACATTTCTTATATCAGTGTTTTTCTTATTCGTGTTTTTCTTATATGAAGTAATTTTTACACTGAGAAGATGTAAAAAGGCTCGGTGTTTTTGATAATCTTTCTTATATCCGATTTTTTCTTATATGAGATGTGATTATATCCGATATCTACTGTATTGCATCATGGATTGTTTCATAAGCCGAGCTTAAAAAAAAATTCTGGCGCGTCGATCTTGTGCACACCTCATCATCTAATTTGAAATACCATGTTCCGAGAGGTTGCCTTCCACTTGATCTTTTCATCGAATTCGTGGCCTTTCCCTTCTGCGTGAACCATCATTTTATATGCCTTTTGAGCTGGGGCATCCTCATCCATTCTCACATGACCTAGCCAACGTAATCGCTGCAGCTCGATATAACTGACTATGTCGATGTCCGAGAATATAAGGTACAGTTCATTCGACGGCGATATTCACCGTCGACGCAAATCGGCCCATAGATCCTCCGGAGAATATTTCTCTCAAACACTCCAAGATCTGCTTAATCTTCTTGCGCAAGTACCTATGTTTAAGATCCATACAACAGCACGGGTAGTATCAGCGTCATGTAGAGTGTGAATTTGGTCTGGCCTTGTTTTTGAGTTGCTTACCCAGACCCATGATGCAATTATAAGGTGATGTAACAAAACAAAAACCTTTGTTTTTGTCTCGACCATCTGTCAAAATTTTCCTTATAATATTTCACATGGTTGGCAACATTGCACATCGAACAAAGACATAAAAGTATAAAGATAGGACAATCGATACGTCAATAATTTCCAATAGATGGCTTTTCCTCTGTTGTTACGATATCATAACAACAGAGAGAACAATATTAAACGTTTTTAATGCTATATCTTAAGCTTATAAAATGAAAATACATATTTTGAGTGCAGGCCTCTAATTTTATTTACATTTTATTCACACATTTTCGCCTATTGGCGTTTTTATTCCCCTGGATATTTTTTCATAAACTATTTTTCATAAAATATTTTGCGTTTTGTCGAGTCTTTACGGTTTCTATGTCTTTGCATCGAATTCAAGTAGAAATTACGTACTTTGACAGTTAATCGAGACATCAGCTGTGCTAAATGGAGTACCTATTCATTGTGTCATGCTCAGTAAATAGTAGCATCTGTTGGCCCACACTATTCTTCTCCGTATTTCACACGATGCAATAATAAGGTGATGTACCAAAACAAAAACATTTGTTTTTGTCCCGACTATCTGTAAAATTTTTCCATATAATATTTCACATGGTAGGCAACATTGCACATCGAATTCAAGTAGGGCCTACTGGACGTCTTGCGCGTTGATACCATCAACTTGGGCATGATGCAATAATAAGGTGATGTATCAAAACAAAAACATTTGTTTTTGTCTCGATTATCTGACACATTTTTCCATATAATATTTCAAATGGTTGGCAACACTGTACATCGAATTCAAGTGGAAATTACCCACTTTGACAGTTAATCAAGACATCAGCTGCGCTAAATGGACTACCTATTCATTGTGCCATGAACTTGGGTTTCTCGCCATTTACTGCCAGTCCCACTTTAGCAAACTCCTTCTCAATTCGTTCAAAGGTGGTTGTTACCGCTCGATGGGCCATTATGTCGATATCGTCAGCGTAGGCGAGTAACATGTGTTGTTTGGTGTACAGAGTGCCATTTCTGTTCATATTTCCATCTCGTATGACCTTTTCCAGGAGGATGTTAAAAAGGTCACACGACAAACTGTCACCTCGTCTGAATCCTCGTTCGGTATTGAAGGGCTCCGAGAGGTCCTCTCCGACTTTCACTGCTGACCTTGTGACAGACATGGCCTTAAACACCTTTGAGCGGATAGGGCTGTCGAATGCGGCTTTTTAGTCGACGAAAACGTGGAAAAAGTGTCGATGTATACGGGTCTTTTCCAGGATTTGGTGCAGTGTGAAAATCTGGTCTATAGTGGATTTAACAGGTCTGAAGCCGCATTGATAAGATCCAATAATATCATTGAGCATTGGCTTCAGTCGTTCACACAGCACGCTGGATAGCACTTTATATGCGATGGAAAGGAGACTAATTCCTCTATAGCTGGCAAATATCGTCTTGTCTTATTTTGTGTGCACGGAACACATATTGCAGAGGTTCCAATCATTGGGCATGCATTCCTCTAGTCAAATTGTAATACTCAGTTGGTGCATACATCTGATACACCGGTCGGCTGGTAATCCATCGGCATTTGCTGCTTTGTTATTCTTCAGTCGACTAATTGTTATTCAGACCTCATCTTGGCTAGGTGGTGATATTTATTTTTTAGACTTATTAAGGAATACAATTCATAAAATAATAAAATTAAACAAAATCTATTGTTATTAATATCTCCATTTTTGATGCACTTGCTGTAAAACCAATTCCTTCATATTCATCGAGAGTGAAAAACGCCATACACAACATTTTACAAAAGTGGGGAAGTTGAATTTTTCTGTACGCCTTGTCGGATTATAGGTAATGTTGTAAAAAGTTGGAAATTGCAAATGAAATATTTCGAATTTCGAATTACAAATTGATTTTTTGTATAACAACTGACATATTGAGAAATACAAATGGAAATCTCGCATTACAATTGAAATCTTTAAAATTACAACAGAAAGTTTTGGAAGTCTAAAACAATTTAAAACCCACGAAAAACACATCGACACATTCCATCTATTTGTCGACTATAAAGCCCTATTCGTTCAGAGGTGTTTAAAGCCATATCTGCGTTTGGCATTTCTGCAAAATTATTTAAATTATTTGGCTATGCAGGATAACTTTATCTGGCACAAGATCAGCAGTTTAAGTGAGAAAGGACCTCTCCGACTTAAACTGCTGATGGCATCAACGCGCAAGACGTCTAGTAGACTCGGACCAACTGTGGAACTTGAGAACTATATTATATACCTTGGTACCGCCATAAACAAAGCGAATGACATCAGTTTTGAAATTCGGACAAAGATAGTGATGCCAACAGATGCTACTATGGTCTGAGCAAACAAATCAAAAGCAAGGCCACCTCCCGCCTGACCAAGCTCACACTCTACAAGACGCTGATACTACCCGTGCTGTTATATGGATCTGAAGCATGGGTACTTACGCAAGCAGATGAGTCAGCTCTTGGAGAGCTTGAGAGAAAAATTCTCCGAAAGATCTATGGGCCGATCTGCGTTGACGGCGAATATCGCCGTCGAATGAACCATGAGTTGTACCAGCTATTCTCGAACATCGACATTGTTAGAGGTATTGAACTGCAGCGACTACGTTGCCTAGGTCATGTTGTGAGAATGGATGAAGATTCCCCAGCCCAGAAGGTATATAGGTTTTGTTGACATATGCGGCAAGTTTTTTATTGTAGGAGAGAGGGGCAAGGGGAATAGAATTGGAAAAAATTGCTCGTACCGACAATTTTCTGGCAATTCGTTTTGTGTACTTTGTTTGTAGTGTCACTTCAGAAAAAAAAACGCATGAAGCAAGTTCAAAAGAGAACGATAAGAATTGCTGCAAGTAAACTCGCCTAATCTAAATCAGGACTATCTTCCAATTATAATTTTGCCCTTTTGCAAACCCTGCAGGAATCGAAATTGTTTACAATTTTCAAAATATTTTTCAATTATAAAATAGTATTAACAGCTGATAGTCGAAATGTCAACTGTACGATGGCATTGCCAGCTACCAAAATGTTCCGTCATACTCTTTTTTACAATCATGTAAACAACTGACATTGGTAACCCATAGCCCGGCAGTGTTGCACATACGGCGTAGTAACTAAAATAGTATCTAAAAGTCGATTAATCCAAAGTCGATTTACTTATCCCTAATTTTAACATAATTTCAGGAAGAAAAACAAGTAAAGTCCGTAAAAAAAGCCTCTAAAATCCAATATATAGCCTGAATGAATTGATTGGGGAAAGATAAATACGAATGCATTGTTATCGAATAGCTACTCTTGATGTTACAGCAGTAGTGCCCCTGTGCCTTAATCAGCCGACTTTATTCTCTGTGTGTCTCTGTTGGACAAGTGATTTTTTGTCTGGTAGAGAAGTAGTCATATAAATAATGTTGACACATAATAAAAGTTGTGGAGGACGCAAAAAAATGCAGGTTAATTAATTTATTGCAATTCTCGATGTTAGATGTGGATGTCAATGTTTGTCATTTTTGGGTTTTCATTCTAGGTCTCCTATGTTATACGAGATGCTGAGGAGAAACAACATCGGAATGGTGTCAATGCCATGCAATTAGATCCAAACAATGGTAAATTATATTCAGCCGGACGTGATGCTATAATACGGGTATGGAACTCCCGTTCCGAATCGAATGATAAATATATACAGTCCATGGAACATCATAATGATTGGGTTAATGACATTGTGCTCTGTTGCAATGGTCGTAATTGTAAGTATGTGAGAGTGGGTGGAAGGAGGAAGGAAGGCAGTAGAGAATTTGTAAATTGTTTTTTGGGGGATAAGTGGAAATATTTAACGTGTGTATGCTTCTCCTTTTAGTAATTAGTGCTAGCTGTGATACAACGGTGAAAGTGTGGAATGCTCACAAAGGATTTTGCATGTCTACCCTAAGAACCCACCGTGATTATGTCCAGGCATTGGCATATGCCAAGGATCGCGAACAGGTGGCCAGTGCTGGCTTGGATAAGGCGATTTTTCTGTGGGACGTTAACACACTAACAGCTTTAACTGCCAGCAATAATACAGTCACAAGTAAGATCAAATTTATTTTGAAATACCCACTTGATAATAATAAAAAAAATTATTTTTTTTCTCACAGCATCTAGTCTAAATGGCTGTAAAGACTCCATCTACAGTTTAGCAATGAATCCTGCTGGTACGGTCATAGTGAGCGGCTCCACAGAGAACATCTTGCGAGTATGGGATCCACGCACCTGTGTACGCAACATGAAATTGCGAGGCCACACAGAAAATGTACGAGCACTGGTGGTATCGGCCGATGGCAATCAAGTTGTTTCCGGCAGTTCAGATGGTACGATAAAAATTTGGAATTTAGGTCAACAACGTTGTGTTCAAACCATCCACGTCCATAAAGAGGGTGTTTGGAGTTTATTAATGACGGACAACTTCCAATATATTATATCGGGTAGTCGTGATCGTAATATTGTCATAACCGAGTTGAGAAATCCCAGCAATTCGATGGTGGTGTGTGAAGAAAAGGCTCCAGTATTAAGTCTCTGCTTTAATATTGATAAGACGGGGGTATGGGCCACTACCTGGAATTCCGATATACGTTGTTGGAAACTGCCACTGTATGACAAGTGTACATTGAATTCAAGTGGCGGTATGGATGCTCAATGGACCTCCACGGGAACAGAATTGGCATGTATTAAGGGTATGTTGCGGGTTTTGAAATTGCAAAGGGGAGAAGGATTTTCATTATTGATTGATTTCTATTATTTGTAGGTGGTGCTGCCATTAAAAAATGTGTTGTTCTAAATGATAAACGTCACATTGTTACCCGCGACACGGAAGACAATGTAGCCATATATGATGTATTACGAGTAGTTAAGAAGGAGGAGTTGGGTAAAGTTGATTTCGAAGAGGAAATCAAAAAACGCAACAAACAAGTATACATTCCCAATTGGTTTACTGTTGATTTAAAAACGGGGGTATGTCCATTGCTTGTAGTTGATTTTTGGCAATTGCTACAATTATAGTTTTTGTATTTTTAGATGCCTACTATTGTTTTGGGCCAAGACGAGGTGGATTGTTTTGCTGCCTGGGTATCAATAGAAGCTGGTCTTCCTGAATGTTCGGATCCACAATCAGAAATGAAGGTAATTGAAATACAATTTTTGGAACTCTAATCAAAAATAAGGAACGAGATTTTGGATTGAATGTTAAGTTTTATAGACACACCGATTTGTATTTCTTTCGATTAAACATTTTTCATAGTTATACTGTAAAAATTTAATTTAGTTTATTACAATTTTGGCAAACAAGCCTAAAAGGCCATTATTACTTTAGAACCTAATCAAAAATAGTTCTTCCTGGCAAATAATGTATTTAATATTTTTATTCAAATTAAAAATTCAGTCGTTCTTAAATTCATATCTGTTATTTATTATGAAATGACGACAAAAATTATTTTTCAGATAAATTATGGTAAATTGTTATTAGAAGCATTGCTGGAATATTGGACACCACCCCATAGCTTGCCACCCAATGACATGGAACAAGATATAAGAGGCAATGGATTTTTCCAAGTACCAAAACATACACCGGTAATATTAAGGTAAGTTTGTTTTTGTTATTTCACTCAGATTTTAATTTATTCCCGTATTCTTCGATTACAGTGAGGTTGGTGGTCGAACTGTATCCCGATTATTGGTACGTGATGCTGCTGGAGAAAGTGAAACTACATTGCTACACGAAACCGTACCACAATGGGTAACAGATGTTGTCATAGAAAAGACCACACCGAAATTTTTAAAAATTCCATTCTTCCTAACACCACATCCGTCTATGGGTAAACCGGAAAGAACGAAGAAAGTAAGAAATTTTAAAACAATGCCTAGAGGCAATTATTTATATAAATTATGATGTGATTTTAGGATCGTTTGGTGGCCAATGAATTTATACAGTGCCGTAAAGTGTGTGAACATGTTTTGGATAAAGTTTTGGGAGCTGAGACCACACCAAGTGGTGGCAATGCATCCAGTTCTTCACAGAACAGCGATGCCAATTCGGAGGGTTCTCAAGTGCCGGCCGAAGATCGCATTGAGTTATGGTGCAATGATGTGGTATGTTTAGTTGAAACTCTATTTTTAGATAATCAATTTTAAAATTTTGTTTCTTTTCCCCTACAGGTGGTGGATCCAAACATGGACCTACGTACTGTTCGCCATTTTATTTGGAAGCAACAACAAACCGATCTCACATTCCAGTACAAAACTAAGCCAAATTTTTCATATGATGGAAAACTTTGAACAAACAACGGTAGAAGCAACAGTTTATGTGATTCTCTAAATTTCAGCTGATGATAAGGCACAAGACAGACAAATTAAGAAATACAATGGGTGGTGGGTGTTGTGCGCGTTATTGTGTGAACGCATTTGACAACTCACAACCGCCCAAACAACAAGCACGTGATGACTACAAGTGTATGGAATCTGTGGAAACAACAAACAAACGAACGCAAGGACATGGCAAAATTCTTAATATGATCATCAAAAAAATTGTTTTATTTAGTTTGTTGTTAGGTTTTTTTCGGTTTATTGTAACACCTAAAGCATTTCAAAAGCTTAAGGAAATACAATTATATTGCAAAAAATAATCACATTAAAAAAAGAAATTTGGCAATCCACTCCCAAAGAAAAAATATCTTAACCATACCACATACACAATGTTTACCATTCCAATTATTTCTTCCCCATTTGCTTAGTTGTATAGCTAACAAGAAAAACAAATACTCATTCCATTTCTTTCTCACCACAACCAAAAAAAAATCTTTCTACTTTTCTAAGCTATATAAAAAAACAAAAACTTTGTACAGAGCGTTGTATTTTCTGTGGCGAGATGGATTGCCTTTCTTTATGTTATTTTTGTGTAACATTTATAGTTTTTAATTACAATTATTATTACATAGATTCACACATACATATGCTTAAGATCTAAACATAAAAAATAAAGTAAATTATTTAAAAAAAAAAAAAACGACAGACTAAGTAAAACATATTTCACATTATATTATAGAATGGAAAGTATGAAAGGAAGAAAGTGTTGTTATCCAATTTGTAGCTATAATAAAATTAAACATTTAAACAAAAACACATATTCAAATATGATAATGCTAATAATAATAATGAGGATGCCCCAATAAATGCAGGCAATTGACTTATAATAAAGAAAAATACAATTTTTTAAACAATAGAATAAATATTGTAAAAAATTTTCTTCTCAATGAAATCACATTAGCATTTAGGAGAGTAGTCATTTAGGAAAAGTGTTTTGGATTGGTAATGGAAATCAAAACAATTCTTCAACATTTTGTACTTGTAGAATAAATTCTCAGACGTAATTTTTGAAAAATCAGATGGACTTGATAAAGTTTTGGAATCGAATTGATTTCTATAGCACAATCAAATCAATTTACTAACATTTCCTGGAGATTTTCTTCCTTCGTAAATACTTTACAACTTCAACAATACACATTAGAGTGTATAAAAATGTCATCATAATCCTAACGACTTAACGGGTGACACAAACACCACCCACCACTTTGCTAACTATTTCTTCGTCTTCCCATCCCAATTGCCCTGTGCTTCTCAATTAATCCCAACACCGATTTAATATCGTTGTATAACGTTCGTGGCAAATTTAAACTTTTCAGAAATTCATCATTTTGACCATAAATAAGATCGGAAAAACGCCATAAACATCTTGTACGCAGACTTTGATTTACAGGCGGATGTATTGCTATCAATTTGCGGCAGGGCAACCATTGCCCGGCATTCTTCACGCGATACAATTGTGGCCAAAAGATATCCTGATGTTTGACATGCATACGTTCACCGGTACGGGCATCACGAAACAACCATGGATGTGTTACAAATGTATTGGCCTTTATGCCAGCACCCGGAGGTAATGTTGTAAATAAATCTTGTGAGCCATTGAAATCCATCCAGTATAAATTCACCTGGAAGTAAACTGACTTTAGTAAAATAGGGAAATAATGAAAAACTAAGGTTTTGTACAAAGCAATCAACTTGATTCCAAATTAAAGTATAGCAAACTGAAATTAAGGTTTGATCACGTAAAGATGTATTTTCCGGGGTATGAAACATTGAGTTCCAAAAACAAATTTATGGATCAATGGGAGTATTAGAGATGTCATTATATAGATGACAATTAGGTCACGTCCCCAAATTTATTGAGGAAAGTCCGTCCATGTCTGTCGCTATGTAGACAACTGAATATTGTCCTAAACTAATGGCTTGGTAATTTATTTTTATTATTCAAATAAACTTGAAATATTGGCAATTGTATAGACCGTTTGGGGGGTTTCTATTAAAGAGTTTATGTACAATCCATATCAATTTAAATTCTGATATCAAGTTCAAATTATTCCAAACATATTGTTCGGAGTCCAGCTGTGCATTATTTACATTGGCGACTCCTCCTCTCACCTGTCGCTGTGTTGTATTAAGAAAAAATACATGCGTCTGTTCATTTGAACGTTGAGCCGCCAATCTTGGCGGTGGCTGGACTGGTGGTTCAAGCGCCATTGTACGTTTGTAATGTACTTTGTTGCATTTGTTTAATAGAAAAAAGTATAAGTTTTGAATTCTTTTTTTTAAATTGATGTTGTATAGTTCACGAAAGACTTAGTTCAATTAAAAGATTCACTGAAGTGAACTATTGAATTAGTATCGTTATTGAGTGTTATCATTTCGTAGTGGATGACGTTACTAGTAAACAGCAAATAGAATGCAGACTTGCCGTTTTGGGCAATTCGGACCGAATAGATAATAGATTTCGCATGTTCTGGAAAAGATTTTATGTTAAGATAAATCTGATGTTAGGTTTAAGATTTTGGAGTAGTAGATGTATAGTGGTTTTTGGAAGCGATCATGGCCTTGTCGCTAGGTTCCCATTCATGAAAAATAAATAAATTGAAAATTGACTAAACCCCATAATAAAAGTAAATAAAAAATTAAATAATAAAAATGAATTTCGTCACATCTAGCCAAGATACAGCTCCTAAAAGAATCAGCCAAATTTACTGCGTCCAAATTCACTCTATTACTAGACTTCCATAAACGAATAATATCCAATAATAACTTGAAGGAATTATCATACCCAATATTCTTAAAAACGTTCTGTAAATTCTTAGCCGGGTCAGTGGCGACCATAAGTTTATTATTTATCGAAATAATTAACATCTTCTCTGAAAGGTTAAAGCTTCATGATTTTAAATATTTTCGATGTTTAATAACAGTATAGGCATCCTATAAAAATTAAAACTCCATTACAATATTAATTATATAATAACACTTTATTATTTTTAAATGTTTGTACAATATTGTCTTATAAAATAAATAATCTAATGTTTCTTATGTATAAATTCTAATCACAAATGTATGTATATCCTAGATATGCTGCAATTCAGCTTGAATTATACGATCTATATCATCGATAGCATATACTTTACGACACGCCTTCCTAGCATTACTTGATGTAGGCTTTGTTGAAGGATCATTTATTGCATTGTAGTTCTCCATGGAACTTATACAAGTATTCCCATTATTATTATTATTTACCGATTTATCAAATAAATTATGACAATATTCCGGTGATATTGACTCTAAAAATAATATACGATCTTCAATGTTTTTCAAACGCTGATGAATACTTTTCTGTTGTGTATTATTTAAATTCAAATGTTCCTCGATATCACGCGTTCTCTCTAGTAAGGCATGTTTTATAGGGGCTGTAGTCTTTATTTCCTTCTTTTCTTTTTTGATTTTCGGTTCCAAGTCGGATTCCATTAGCGTATCTAATGTTTCTAAATAGTCCTGTCGTACTTGTGGTCCAATTTTATTTTCAATTTGACGAACTTTTAAGTGGCATTTCGAATTTTCCTGTTTTATTATGGTACCAGCAATGCGGGCACACGATGATGATGATGACGACTCTTCTTCATCTTCGTTTTGTTTTTCAGCCGTGTAATTAGGATTTATATAGTCTACAATATTATTGATATCGATTTCTTCTCTTTTTCGTTCAATAAAACTTTGTATTCTTCGATTTATTTCAGTTTCACTTGCTGAAATCTGTACAAATTTCGATGGAAGAGAGTGTTCTTGTTGTATGTCACATAGCTTTTCATCGAATGTCTCTGCCTCGGTAGATTCCACACACATGGTAAATTCGTCTCCCTCATATTTTTCTTTTCTCCATATGGGTACACGTTTCTTTAGTTCGTCGATTACCACTGCAATGGCATCTAAGGAGGATTTGGTGTGTGTTGACGATATGGCAATAACAACATTGGCCTCACCAATAGGTACTGGACCAATACGGTGATATATAACAATATTACAAAGATCTGACCAACGAAATCGTAATTCTCCACATATATTTTCCATTTCTCTTTCGGCCATTGATTCACAGGCTCCAAATTCCAGAGATATTAACTTTTTACCACCTAATGAGCTGCGGGTGGTGCCAACAAATAATGAGGTAGTTGAACAGGCATCTGATACTGCTAAATCAGTTATGGAACCAATGTCCAAGGAATCTCGAGTTAGCAAGAGGTAGTTCATTTTGATCACCAATAAATGGATTCGGCTCTGGAAGGTATGTATTTTCAATCAATTTATAATTTATGATATGTTGAACACAAGGGTATACTTACATTTGGAATAAGTTGGTAATAAACACTAATATGGAAATAAAAAATTAAAAAAATATCGAAATCAAGTCCAGCGTTCAGGATTTGTTTTGTTTTGATTCCGGCTCTCTAGAAAGAAATAGTTCATTGTTGATGTTCACAAAAACGAACTGTGTGAACTAGTGACGTTTTTTGTGAATGATTTGTTTGAATCAAGGTAGATATACAAGGTAGCCGCATCGGCGAATTTCTACAACAAACATCGGTTGTTGTATTTTGATATGTCAAAAATATTTTGCAAAAACAAACAGATTGACAAGATTTTTTTACAAAAATTCTTGTAGAAAATGTTAATAAAAGTTGTGCCAAAAAAGCTTTTCGAAATTCGGAGATTTTCATTTATAATTTTGTTTTTTAATTTTTTGGTTCAACACTACAACAACATTTTTGACATTTATTTGTCCAACAGCTGGACCGATGCGGCTACCTTATTAAATATACCTTATTAAATATACCTATATATAGTTGGTGGTGGCGCTGTTAATACTCGACCATCGGGAGGCGGGCCAAAAACTTAAAACAGAAAAAAATGTCAATAGTTAGAATATTTATTTTCATAAAAATTAAAATGTATTTCAGTGTTTCTATCGAAAATTAAGTTGGGAATGTAATTAAAAAAATAATTCATCCTATACTTGTAAAATGTACAATCAATGCAATACACTCAATAGAAAAAGTCTGTGTACAATTTAGTAATATACGATTAATATTCAGAAAGAAGTATTAAAAAGTCAGGTATATTTTTGTATACATAAAAAATAATAATTAGATAACAATTTTTTAGAGAAAAATAATTGAGATCGTCTAGAAAATGTATTATAAAAACATAGATATTATTTAATATTTTAGATTATAATTAAGAGCCTGTTAGATAGCCCCATCAGCACATGGCATAACAATGTTGCTATAATACAGAATTAATAAAACTATGCAATTTCCTATAAAATTGGTTCCTCATGAAGTAAAATTAATAAAATAATACTAAAATAATAAAAAAGTACCAATTATTTTATGAGAGCACTACTAACAGAGCGGAGCCCAACCAATCACATTTGGTTCAGCGCAAATTCAGTATAACTAAGAAGTGTGGAATTAAAAATTGAATGTTACGAGACATAATTTTGAGTGATTTTAACATCTAGCTCGAGAACAGCTGATTTTCAAATAGCATCAACTGTTCTCCGGACATTACCGGACTTGAAAGTGGTATTCCTGCTCCATATTGGCTGAATATATCATAGCCCTTTTAAACCCAAAAATAAAACAAATAACTGAAATAATTTTTAACAAGCTTGTTTTTTTATTCATCTATTATTGTAGATATTTACAAACAAAAGCAACAACACATACATTCATCACGAATTAGAAACAAATTTGATAACAGAAAATTTTAAAATAAAAACAAAAAAAGGGAGAATAAGAATTTGGAATGATTTTTTGATCAGAATTTTCAAGTGACAATCAAATTAAAATGAATATAATAAGAATCATCATTTGTATATAGGTAGTATTATTATTATTATCAGAGGAAACACACATTGTTTGATTTCATACTGCATCAATTGCATATTTTTCAGTGAAATTATTTAGTTATTAATACATTTCATTACTTAAGAGTTTAATAACATACTAATGGTTTATTTATATTAATGGGGAATTATAATACTTAAGCTTTGCCGCTAATGGCAGCAGAACCTTGTTTTTGGGTTTCATTGTCTTTTTCCAATTGTTTGCCCAAATATTCCCTGGAGAGAAGAAGAATATAAAAAATATTTTTTTTTTCGAATATATTGTTAAAATAAAATTGACTTACCAATTGTGAACCATCAATTTTTGTACTGCCAACAAGGCTTCATAACGTACATTGGGATCTTCATGACCCAACAATTGCATAACAATTTGTTTGCCGCCCAATTGTTCCAAGACGCTGGAAGAGGTGAAAATAGGTTTCAAGAATTCGCGGATTAAGGGTTTATTTTCAAACTTACTGTTTTCCTCTGGGATAATGACGAACATATTCTCCAATATCATAGCAGGCAACGGACAAAATAATGGGATCCTTGGAGGTTTCCAGAAGATGTACCAAAATGCGCAACAATTCGTAGTTCTTTTCATTCAAACGTTGGGCATTTTCACGCCAGAATTTAGCAGATTTGTGTACGGGAGACCATTCCAAACGGGCACTGCGCAATTCTGTGGCATATTCATCGAATGAGGACAAATCTTGTACAGAGTTTTGCAACTTTTCAGTTAAGAATTCAACATCAGCAGAGATGTCTTCATCATCGAAACGACGTTGTTCCAAAATGGAAAGTTGTTTCAAGACTTTGCATTGTACCATGGCAATGCAATGTTCCTTGGCAACTTGGGCATCGGTTGGTTTTTCAATCAAGTTACGGAATACACCCAAAATGATGCGGGTAACCTGCAAAAAATAATAATATCATATACACAATCAAACCTAATTAATTTAAAATAAATGTTACCTTTTCCTTGGCACAATCATTGAGGATATCAGCCAAAATGGGGATGACTGTGAATTTGTTCATTTTTGTGGCCAACAAAGGATTGAAGGTCAAGACCCACAAACAGAAGACCAATTGATATTGTACCTGTAAAATTTATATAAATTAGTAATGACCGTCTCTATTAATATTTGCGATTTTTTTACTTACTTGGAAGTTGACACGAGATGACAAAATGCGCACCAAAGTACTGATACCATCTACGCTAACAAAAGCAAAACGATATTCATCAATACGCAACATCATTTGCAGGCAACGGGCCACAGATTGAATATATTCGTTGGACTGTTTTTTGGAAAATAATGAGAATAATATTTATTTTTTGTATTTAAATTTTTGAATTAGTTAGTTGGTGTTATTTTTATAAAAAAAAGAAACGCAACAAGTTGTATGGCATTGAATAGGTCAGGCCAAAGGACCTTCAATTATTAAATTTAATAAAAATCCCAGAAAAGATGACAAACGTTTTGATACTCCTTTTGAATATGAAAGACAGACAGGTCCACAATATCAAAAAACAACAACAAATATAACAATAACAAAACAAGGCGAAATACAGACAATGATATTTGTGGGGTGGACATATAACAAAAAATCGGTTTTAATTTACTTAAAATCTTTCTAAACAACGTCTGGCAGAATTTCGAATAAATTTACAAAAAATGTGAAAAAAATGCTGAATATTAAAAAAAGTTAGCCAATTAGTAGAACGATGAATATGCTATTATTCTGTTATGTTATTGGTAGTATTTTGCAAATAATTAAATTGCTTAAAAGCCCACTACCGTCTTGCCCGCCGCTGCAGCTTGTTCACGATATTTCAAAAATTCAACCAGATCAAGGTGATTTGTGTGTCCCTTATCATGTCCATCTGAATGTATTATAATGGTTTGGATTCTTTTTGATAGGGCAGTCATCTCACTGATATATTTTTTGCACTGATTTTTTTGGGGCGGAATATTATTAGGTTATTTTGAGGTTGTTGGAACATATATTTGTGCAGAACCGGGGATAAAAAGAAAAATATATAAGTTTCTGACTTATTCAAGTGGGGAAGTCCAAATAAATGAAATCTAGTTAGAAAAATTGTCCTTGATGCAAATAAGAAAAATAATCTGCAAACATGTCCTCAAATAATTTGATTTTTAAAACGCTAGTGGGTGAAAACAATGTAAATTTTAAGCATTAAACAAAAAAATTTTAAATATTTTTGGTGCTAAAATTATGTTCATTTTATACTCCAACTTATAGGTTATAATTTGAAATTAACACTATCCGAAAAAACAACATAAAAAGTTCAAAATTATTTAAATAAACAGCCTATTTGTATCATAAATAGGGTTCTCAACATAGTTACACGATACGATAATTTCAAACACAATAACAATGTGTACATTAAAGGGCCGCAAACGACAACGAATCATGTGTCATGATAACAACTACTACTACCAAAAAAACAACCTCTCCTCCTCTTCACCACATCACCCTCTCTCTCCACATCAATTTGCTCACCTGTACAGTCAATTGATCCTTCAAGAATTGCAAATAGAAGTTCAAATCAGATTTGGGCATCATTTCATGACCCCAGCATGCCAATTTGGCCAAAATGCGAGATGACATATTCACAATGAAACCATCTTGACGATTCAACAGATTCAAGAAGGGGCCCCAAACACATTCCTTGCGCTTGGCACAATATTCATGGAAAATATCAACACGAGAACGATCCTCTTGCAACAGATCGTCGATCATCACCATAATATATTGAATTGTCGAATCTTTGGAGACATGCGACAGCAGATTCAACAAAGTCTTAACAGCTTGGGCTGGATTCGATTGCAAGTAGGCAGCCTTTGAGTTATCCAAAGCACTAATGCACTGATAATCTTCTTGGGAAATCATTTGGGATTGCATGTACGATGCCCAGTTAATGGTTTTGGTACGGATATCAGCGGCCTGTTGCTGCAACACAGATGTTGCAGCAATCATATCTGGAGCACAGAAGATAAAGAAGAAAAACAAAGACGTAATTAATTGCAATATTACATTCGTCAATGATGATAATAATGATGTATACATCATTTTTTTCATTGTCACAAATAACAAGACATTTGATTATTGATTTTTTCCACAAATCTTTTTATTTTTCTACTTACCAATGCTCTCTTCGGGCATTTTCATCAAATCGGCAACGTCAGACATGGCTACTGCTTTATTTGTTGTTATTTTTTCCTAAAAAATTCAATAAAATTTTCACCAATTCCGTTGGAAAATAGCAGTAGACAAAATTTTTACACTGAATTCAGCTGACAGTAGGTCTTGTGACTTGTGATGTCAAAGTAATGAGTATTTTGGGTACAAATTAACAAATACCGATTTTATTTAACTGTCATTTTAAGAGGTGCTGTAATTAGTGGTACAAGTAACGTGTGAAGTGACAAGAAAAGAAGGTTACTGCAAATACGTTAATCGAAGCTTGTGGCTGAATTAAAGATGGAGCTTAAACGGCATTTACATCAGAACTTTTTCTGGGATAACCTCCTCCAGGAGGATTTATTTGACATATATGAAATTGACAATTTAGATCAACTGGATTTTATAAATTCCGTACAATGTAAACGTTGATGAATATTTGGCGAACTCTCTTTGTCATGATTTAGATTAGGCGAGTTTACTTGCGGCAAGTCTTTGTTTGTAGGAGAGAGGGGCAAGGGGAATAGAAATGAAAAAAAAATTGTTTGTACCTACAATGTTCTGGCAATTCGTTTTGTGTATTTCGTATTAGTTTACATTTTATATATATTTAAATGCGAAAAAACAACAAATAGAAAAATATTTTGGAAACCGAATTGCCTTGTATAGACGCATGATGCAAGTTCAAAATACAACGACAAGAATTGCTGCAAGTAAACTCGCCTAATCTAAATCAAGACTTTTCGAGAAATAGAGGGTATATTGCCACATGAAATTATACAAATAAATTTAATTGAAATCCTGGTATAATAATTAAAAAGTAGGGCCATGGCATAATTACAGAAGGTAGTCTCATTTGAGAGTTTGATGATGGCAAATCAAGTGTTCTACCCTCTTTTCCGCTTAAACTTGCTGACTGATTTATTGATATTAAAATCCCTATAATGTTCTAACTAAGATTGCTCTTTAATATTAATTTTTAGTAACTCAACATGGATTAATGCCTCCTGTCGATGCTGATTAATTGTTGGTCGGTTCCCGTACTGCAAGAATCTACTTGATTTTACTATTTTATTCGATATCATAAAGGAAAATTCGTTATGGTAGTAAAAAGTAGTAGATTCTTGCAGAACAGACCAAATGATATCTAAGTCGAAATTGACAAATCGATATATCTACATTTGTTACAGGAATTCCGTTCCAGAACCTAAAAGAATCTTCTATTTTGAAACCAAAATTCCAGTACATCGCTCTGTAATATTTACTTAGTCTGCTTTTCCACAGGCAAATTTTTATTTGGCAAATACTGAGTTTGTAGGCAAGAGGGGTGCGAGGAAGAAAAACAAAAATTTTGCCTGTCCAGAATTTGCCGTACACGCAAATTCTGCTTTGCTCTGTTCGTTGAAAACAATTTTGTTGACATTTCCTTTTGAACCTATTCGCTTTACTGACACACTGCCGGCTTTTGTTTACAAAACATTTGCTTTAATTTGTGCAAGTGAAATTTAATTTTTAATTTTTGCAATTTATATAATAAAATATATAAAAAATAAATAAAATATTAAAAAAAAATCTTTAAAATGCAAACACTTTTGACTTTTATTTTCTTTCTTTTGTATTTTGATTCGCAAATTTGGCAAAGAAAAATTTGCTAATGGAAAAGCAAGTGAAAATTTCAAAAGAGAAAACAAAAAATTTGACAAATAAAAATCTGCCTGTGGAAAAGCAGACTTATAAACATATACAATGTTCTGTTTATTTGACATATTTTTAAGGAAAATATCGCCAAAATTCCAGTATATCGATATATATTATATATGCTCTGTGTTACGTTCTAGACCTAATGCGGCGTTATGGCGGGGTTCGCACTAGCTCAGTTAGGAGCACTTTTCGATCAGGAGAGTTCTCAACCCTTGCCACCATCAACCCTAGGGAACGAACAACTAGAAATTTTTGGATCATACAAAACACAAAAACATAAACAAACACAACATACACCTATGACGAAGGAGCTTGGTTTAGTGCTCCTCCACTATGCCCGCCCATCCTTAACCCTTTAGTCCAATTAACGAATATTTATATTTAAAAGGGCCCCAAATTCCACACACACTTACCTCACGAAAACTTACACCTAATTCCCTCTCTCACAAAGAAAACTTAACACAACATAATTTCTAATAACATAAAATCAAACATTAAAATCATTTATTGACATTTTTTGGACCTTAATCTACCATATAAAAGTTGATAATCATGTCAATTTACGAACTCCTAACTCCTTTTCTCTCAGTGTGAATCAATATCGTCGATTACCAACACTTAGCATAGGGCACGTTACACTGCCAATTCAGGCTATTTTAGACAACTACACCTACCTAAGAGAGCTCTGTTAGTGGTGACGTGGGCGGTTAAATCGCATCCACAAAATATTCAAATTCTTGCTCCACGTAGCTATGTGGTAATCTAGCTCACCAGTTATAAAAGGGGTTAAAAATCCTCACAATATATACTCATTAAAAATTCCTTAATACTAAACTAACTACTAACATTCACAACTTATACTAACATATATTCTTGTTTTAATTATATATTTTTTTGTCTTTTTTTATAGTTTTCGTGTCCTAATTTTTGTAAAATTGATTTTAACGTATTCTTTCTTTTATCTCATTTCAGGTTTTTTTTATTTGCATAGGGAACTGGCAATTTCATTATTCCAGCATTATCATCAATCGGTATGTATTATATTAATATTCTTTTACCTGGTTTCCAACGATTTAATATATATATTTTCTGGTTTCTTTATTGTAGGGGCTAATTACCAGCGACAGAGCAAATCATCACGGATTACCAGGATTTTCTGTTCCCTCTCCATACGGATTTAAAGGGGATTATTGGCAACTTATGAAGTCTGTTTTATGACTGTTTTCAAGGCCTTTTTCCAGCTGTTTTCACAACGTCTTCAAAATATTCTTCAAATTTCTTCCGAATATTCTTCAAAATTTTATCTGACCTCCTCCTCGCAGATATTTGGGAGGGGTCAGTTTCTTCGGCGGTGTGCAGTTTTTTATAGGCGTTCAACTTTAATAAAACAAAAAAAGTACAAGATATTGAAGCGACAAAAAACAAACACATTAAACAACATGCTTACATTTTGGTATACGCACAACATGCACAAACAACACCACAATAAACTTTGAAGAAAAAATATATAAATTTTGTTTATTTCCAATTAGGTTTTTTTTGTTGATTTTGATTTTTTTTATTTTGGGCAAAAAATCCAATTGGATTTTTAATTGACACAAATAACTATGGCGATTTTTCTCTCATTCGCTCCTTTTATATGGCCGAAACCCAAGCATGATTTTACCTCCTTTTCATTTTTCGCACAATTTTCCGACATTTATTTATGTCTGTTTTATGCTACATCCAAACCTATTACGCTCACGCAGTGTTGCATTTCATGCACGTTACGTGACCGCATCCACTAACTACAATTCATGATTCACTTCATTATTCCATCTTAGCAACACTGTTTATATGCAGCCAACTTCATAGCCTACCGTATCCGGCTTATTTCTCCTAGACCGGCAGCCACGAAACACATCGATAAGAATTGCTGCCGGTTTTTTTTTTTATAAAAAATAATGCAGCCACATGCAACATCTGTCATATTTACTTATAAACATATACATCATGTTGTTCTGTTTATTTGACAAATTTTTAAGTAAAATATTGCCAAAATGAATGGAATGTCAAGTTTTTTTCACAACATGTTTTTGCAAATATGATTATGATAAGAATTCTTTAAAATACTCGGAAAGATTTGTCTTTGAGTGCTGTAATGTTGAAATTTTATTAAAACTGAATTTGGAGTTTCTTTAATTTTTAATTGGTATTTCGTAGCCAGATCTGGTAGCCAATGAGAATTCAAAATAGCAAATTACAGCTTATTCTGCTGAAAAATGTGCCTAAACCCCCAAAATACCGAATAATGGTGGTGCCGTTATATGGGGAATATGTTAAATCTCTGACCCTTAAAACGTATTTCTCAGCAAACATTTTCTATCGCAAAAAAATATCCAAAAAGTCACCACCAGGCGATGAAAACCCTCATATACAATATCAAAAGCCACCTTACTATGGTTGGAATTTTAAGGTAAAAATTTCAAAATGATCCACGATCGGACCCTAGACTTGCTTCTTCCACACGTTCGATGTAAATGTAGCATTATTCTTCATGTTTTTAAATTCTCGTTTGACATTAGGCTTCCGCAAAAATTAAAGATACTACCAGTTGTAATCATCTGTTCAAACCCCCTAACAGCTGTTAAAATTCCCTGAACAGCTGATATTGTTGTCGAGCAAGCCTAATCGGTCGATTTGTTTTGATTCCCCTATTCGGCCCGATTTTCGACCTAAGAGACACTAATCCAATCGGTGTTTATTTTGATTCTGGCTTTTATCAGTTACGTTTTGAAGCAATTTCGTCCAATTCCACAACGCCGTTAGAAACGGCAGAAGCGGCATTGTACTTTTTCAACCAACGCCACGCCAATTATTTTTATTATTTTATTAATTTTATTAAATTAATTAATTCAAATGAGGAAACAGAAATCAAAATAAAAACAAAGCGAAAATGTTTTTTGTGCCACATTTGAAAAATAAAAGAGGTGGCACCTATGATGTGCTCCCGTTTCCTCCGCCCTGTACCAATGAAGGACACGATGCATATAACGGAATTTTTACTGGAATATCTGTAGAAATTTGCAATGCCAATGATATTAGAGCTTTATACACCAATGGATTTTACGGCAAAGGCTCACAATCCCGGAGCGTACCTAATGTGGTGTATAAAAACCCATCAGAAATTGATCTCGAAGAACGGGAAACGCTATCGCTGGGCTCAGAAGAGTCATTTTTCTTGGCCTATTATTTGCGGGTCTTGAAAATCTTCGATTTCGACGCAAAAGAAATAACATGGGAAGATTTTATGAAGTCGGCTTTAAAAGTTAATGGCAACTTTGTGGAGTCGGTTGCCGCTTATGTATACTTGAAATCCAAGGGTTGGGTTGTAAAGAGTGGACTGAAATTTGCTGGAAACTATTGTGAGTATATAACACAAAATAAATGTGGTAATGGATCTAATTTAATAAACTAATTTCAGTGATTTATAGCAAGGGTCCCCGATTTTTCCATGCCAGTTTTGTGGTCATTGTGAATATCCCTTCCAATACACAGCATTTAGAACCCAAGAAAATAAAAGGTTTACAAAGAATAGCTGAAACATCTGATAAGGATGTCCTTCTACTAGATATCACCAAACCTAAAAATTTCAAAATGCAAACTCCACAAGATATTGCCATGCTGAACGTAACCGAATCTATTATAAAGCGTTTTAATTACACATCATATGTACAAACTCAACGTAATAGTATATCAAAAATGCTTAAATCGAAGAAGAATTAAACTTTTTCAACTCTGTGTTTTTTGGGAATGCCGGTTCTGCGAAATTCCGATCTTTCTTGTAGGTAAATCTGTTTGCACTCCTCCTTAAATGCCTCATTCTTATACCATTTACTTAGGCATTCTTTTAAATGGGAATTTTCTTTGCGACACGATACGACCATCAGTACACCACTGTCTTTGCAACAGGCTTGGAAATCTGCAACTTCTTTGGTGCAATGTATCTCCTTAGCACGGTCTCGCATAATTTTGGGAATTAGAATCTCAACTTCTACCTTGCGCAGAGATGTGTCATTGGGATCACCTGTAAATAAGCGGTTGTTTATTGGGGTCATGAGTGGAATACGTTGCGGCAACTTACCCAAACCATGTGGGTCCTTGGGATTAAAGGTATTTATGGGAGTTGTGGTCTCAACGTTCATATTTTCTAAGGTGTTTTCGTTTTTACCCGAATTTCCGAATTTGAGAGAAAAGTGGCGTAAGTGGTGTGCTTTCGAATGAAAAAGTTAAGTACAATGCCGTTTCTAAAGTTTTGACGGCGTTGTGGAATTGGACGAAATTGCTTCAAAACGTAACTGATAAAAGCCAGAATCAAAATAAACACCGATTGGATTAGTGTCTCTTAGGTCGAAAATCGGGCCGAATAGGGGAATCAAAACAAATCGACCGATTAGGCTTGCTCAATATCAGCTGTTCAGAGAATCAAACAGCTGTTCGGTAACTGGGCCATAGGGATAAGTAAATCGACTTTCGACTAATCAATTAATCGACTTTTGCATTGAAGACATTCAAGGGTCAATTAACCCATAGAAGACCGTAAATGTATGCTTAAACTGAGGTATTTAATTGATAGAGTAACTTCGGGTAATGTGGACCACCACTATCTTTTTTTTTATATTGTGGGCGTAACAAAGGTAACAAATAAAAACAAATTGTTTTCACAACATGGTAGATTTGTTGGCTAATTATATTCCAGGTCAAAAATTATGGAACAAATGCACTTTACGGACACCTCTCAGATAATTTTGAAATTTTTACCATAGGTAGCCCTTCTGATGCTGATTACAGCAACATAAATTTTTTCGGGGGGAAATCAGTACTTCCCGAGATATTGGGTTCCAAAGTTCAAAAAATACCCCCACTTTTTATTAAATATATTTAAGAATACCACTCCGAAACATTTAAATTTCTTACAACACATAGTCCTTTTGGAGCTGATTACAACCTAATTATTTTTTGGAGAACTTCGTACTTCCGGAATAATTTCAATTTTTTTCTAAATAGCCGGCCTTCGGCCGGGGATTTAAGACTTTCTCCTATGGACAGGTGGAAAATTGGGCTACGCGAGCAGAATTCTCTTTTAATTTGAATTTTTTTTTCTAAATAGCCGGCCTTCGGCCGGGGATTTAAGACTTTCTCCTGTGGACAGGTGGAAAATTGGGCTACGCGAGCAGAATTCTCTTTTAATTTCAATTTTTTCTAAATAGCCGGCCTTCGGCCGGGGATTTAAAACTTTCTCCTATGGACAGGTGGAAAATTGGGCTACGCGAGCAGAATTCTCTTTTAATTTCAATTTTTTTCAAAATAGCCGGCCTTCGGCCGGGGATTTAAGACTTTCTCCTATGGACAGGTGGAAAATTGGGCTACGCGAGCAGAATTCTCTTTTAATTTCAATTTTTTCTATATAGCCGGCCTTCGGCCGGGGATTTAAGACTTTATCCTATGGACAGGTGGAAAATTGGGTGGAAAATCCGAGTGTCCCTAAAGGAAAAAATCCTGAAATCAAACAAATAACAATATAAGCTTATTTTTAAAATTTTGGAACTCCATATTTCCGGAAGTACGAAGTTCCCCCCAAAAAAAATTATGTGGTTGTAATCAGCTCCAAAAGGACTATGTGTTGTAAAAAAACTAAACGTTTCGGAGTGGTATTCTTAAATATGTTTAATAACAAGTGGGGGTATTTTTTGAACTTTGGAAGCCCATATCTCGGAAAGTACTGATTTCCCCCCGAAAAAAATTATGTTGCTGTAATCAGCATCAGAAGGGCTACCTATGATAAAAATTTCAAAATGATCTGAGAGGTGTCCGTAAAGTGCATTTAAGCCAAAATTATATATATTTGTTCATAAAAATGTTATTGCATTATATTTCAAAAAACTCTAAACTGCAAATAAAAATAACTTGGCGGGTAATGTGGACCAGTATGTGTGGGTAATGATGATCAGTAAGTTAAAGGTAGGTTGCGGATTAATTGTGATAAATTTCAATTTATTGCACTCTTGGGTAACAATGAATGCAAAAATATATGTGTCCATGTTTTGGAATAGCCCCCATTTAAGGGTACCACTCCATTGGCGGTATTTTGAAGGTCCTTGCTTTATTATCCAACCGAGGCACCTATAATTTCGGATATCAAGTTTCAGAGGATAGAATACCTCCTCGAATATTAAACGCGTCCTTGTTTCGAACTTTTCCTCATGAAAATGTCCCACTTTTTTATAGTGGTCCACATTACCCGACATTGAATATTTTTATTTAAAAATAATTATCGGCTTCAAAAATGAATAAAAATTTAAAAATAACCGATTGTAATTACAGACAAACGTGTATTTTTGTTAAAGAAAGTTAGGGATTTGTTTTCGTTAATTTTCCCTTACAGAAAAAAACGCTAAAACTGCAAAAAAACGCTAAACTACACAAAAACGCTGCATGTGCATTGACCTTGTATACTATGCAAGGATTTGGGAATCGCAAGGGGAGAACCCTTGCGATGCTCTATTCGGAAATCAAAACCTTGGAGTTTTAGACTCCAACGGGCCAATCTGTCGCTCAGGTCCTTTTGGCTCATTAGCCATTTGAGGCTAGAATGGTCCGTTATGATCCTAAAAGGTAAGCGCTCCACGTAGGGTCTAAAACGATTTACACAAACAATTGCAGCCAGACATTCCAGTTCTGTGACTGTATAATTTCGCTGAGTGCGTTGTTCCAGATGCGCTATCTCGCCTTGATGTAGACGCCTTAGACATTGACTTTGTTTATACATTCCGTGGCAATATTTGTTTGAGACTGCATCGTTATCAAAAGGATTTTCAATTTTATGAGTTTAAAATACAACCATTTATAATATTCCAAATCGTCATAGAATAAGCATTGTGTAGATATTTTATTAAAAATACTTTATACTTATATTTTTGTAGTCAGCTCCGTTTAAATTTATTAGTGAAAAAATTCGCACAAAATGTCATCACATTCTCCCACTCCCTGTAATACCTAATGACAAATTTTCCCCAATGCGGACTTTTTCGCTTTCGAACTTAATTAAGAATAAGGGGAAAGTGAAAATGCGAAATTCGCTGCGAGTTCTGGTTCAGAATAACTTTGAAGGGAAAAGGGAACAAATTCACGGTGAATTGATGTCCAGAGTAATGCTGATTACTTATTAGGGAATAAGTCTCAACTGAGTATCTAGTTCACAGTTTTTAAATAGCGGTCATCGATATATAATTTTCGTCTTACAATAGTTTTGTGTAAGAAAGATTTGTGATTGCAGCAACCTCAAATATATCCATGAAAACGTTGATATCAGCTGGTTATCACACCTGAAAATGCAGTGTTCTTGAAAAATCACCCACCGAAAGATTCAATATAAAATGGAAACACACATTTTTTAAATTTCTTCATGATTTATTTTATACAATTTCTATATAATATTCTTCATAATTATCATTCGTTTTTTTTTTTGTTTACCTGAAAAAATGTCTTATTTATTTCGTATTTCTTTACAGCTTATCTAAAATAATAGTAATAATAATAGTTTAAAATTAATAACATTTGAATTTCTTGGCTTGTTTTTCGTTTTTTAAATACATATATAAACTAATGGAAAGTATTTTATACTTATAAACGTTTCGTTATTTATACAATAATAAATCGTTAATAAGTTGCTTTGTTGTTTAATGGAAAAATAAAAAAATCATATAATGATGAAGAGACAACAACATGCGTATAACTAAAAATTTAACTAAATAGTAGGGTGTGTGAGTTAAGGAAAAACAAAATCAAAAAATCAAGACAATGTGCGTCCGTTTTTTTAGTTAGAGATAGGTTAGATTATAGGTTTTAAACCAACACCGACGATGTGTGTGTTTGTGTAATAACCATCGTCTATTTTAAGTTATGTCGTCCCCCATCGTTTTTGTTTGTTTTTTTTTTTAATTTCTTTTAAAAACATTTTAATTATTTTTTTCTTCTTTAAATTCAAATTCACGTACAAAAAAAGAAAAATAACAAATGCATTAAAAAATAGAAATGTCTTAATTATTCGAAGAAAAGAATTAACAAAATATGAACATGTTGTTAATGTTCTCCTATATATCTTAAAGAATATTAACACAATATCATTTATACATAATAAGAGTCAATGAGTTGTGGATAAATGGATGGATGAGTGTTTTTTTTTTAGGTGAAATTGGTTTGCTCATGACAGATAAACAAACAACAAAGTGTTGAAAATAGTTGGTTTTGTCATTAGTTTTGCTATTCATCAAAGGATGTACTGGGTACTGGGTGTATGTGTGTGGTGAGGTGGGGTGGGGTTTAGAAGAAAAATCTATGGTCTTTAGCTTAGTATTTGTTGAACTGGTAGAAAAAATTCTGAGGTGGCATATTTGTCGTGTTGTTATTTGTTGAACTATATCATCCTTGAGTTCCGCTAGGTTGTTGTTCATTTAATTGTAATTGGGCTAAAGTGCGTACAACTACACCACGATTAACGGGTGAGAGATTTTGACATAGGCCAACAACAGCGTCTAGTGTAACATCGGGACAGTCCTAAAAAGATAAAAAAAATATTTTTTTAAATATATTTTTCTATTTTTAAGCTTGTTACACAAGTATTTACCTCAAGCATTTTCGTAATAGACGAAATAATGGCATCCTTGCGTACGGCATTAATATTGCCGGTAACAATAGAATCGGGTTTCAATTGCTCCAAATACCATTGAACCATTTCTTCGTTCTTTTCCCAAATGTAAGACTAACATGAGAAAAAATAATTCATCATAAGTATTTCAATTGTAATTAAATTATTTTCAATATACAACATACCTCCGTTGTACCCTTATCTTCGACCAACCAACGTCTCAACATCTGTTTAGCTTGACCTACACTCAAACCTTCTTGGGCTTGAATGATTTTCTTGATGAAAGCATCCTCAAGCAGTAGACGTCTTAGACGCCAGTATAGCCATGTGCGTGATTCACGCCATGGCACAATTTCATTAATGCAACCCTTCTCCAACATACGTTCGGGGGTGTCATGCAAATCGGCAAAGTGTACAGCAACGGTGTGGTATACATGAATCATGGCCTCAATACGTTCCTTTATTTTTTCATTAACTTGACTGGCCTTTAGCTTATCACCAGCAGCCAAAGCTTCGTCCATTTCTTTTTTCAACTAAAAAAATAATACATTTTGAAGACATTTTTTCAAAACTCCCTAAATTTATAGCTACTTACTGCAATGGTTGTGGGATCCAAACGATGTATCGTCTTGACTAGATCCTTTTCTTTGTACTTGATTTCCACAATACCCTCTGGTTCCAAAACACCAGCTCTAGCCTCTGGATCGGCATAGGATTCCATGTAACGGGGATTAATCAATGAGTCTAACACAGCCCAGGCACCACCACGCAACTCAGCATTGGGTGGCAAATAGATGAGTACAGGTTTCTTATATTCACGCAAGCCATCAACAATGTAGGCACCGAATTTAACAATTTGTTCGTACATATCCTTCATGCCACCGGAGAAGCCACGCCAATTGGCAAAAATAATCAAAGGTAATTCTTCACGATCGAAATCTTTAATGGCCTGAGCGGTTTTGTATGATGAATCGGGATACCAAACTTGACCGGCTTGTTGTAGAGTCTATGGGGGGAGGAGAAAGACAAGGGAATAAGTTAGATGACATGTTTGATGAGTAACATTTGTGTATCAAAACGCACCTTGGCTTCAGAATCTAAATTGGCGGGATCGGCAGGCATTTCAACTTCAACGGTACGTGTCTCAACGGCAATAACACCAACTGGAATGCCACCCAAACGAGCACGACCAGTAACCACAGTCTTGGCCCAGGGTGCCATAATTTCACTCCATGAATCGCGATCGAAGAAACCATTCTCCCATTCACTGGCATTGGCTAAGGAAAACACAAATTTTTATTGTATGTAAACAACAAAACAATAAAGCTCTTCAACTCACCAGGATTAACACGGCCAGCCAACATCCAACGTGGATCATACGGAGATTTTGTGGGCATAAAATCAACAGCTCTGCTTATTCTATCATTGGGTATAACAATTGGCAAATCACCACCCGTATAGGCTGGCATGTACGACAACCAATCCAATATCGTATAGACACCATCCAAATCCAATGCTTCGGTTTTATGTGACACACCATTGTTGTACATAATTTGAACACCACCCAATTGATTATTGGAAGCATAGACTTTACGACCCAACAACTTATTCAGAGCAGCATAACCCGTCAAAATAATATGGGAATTTTCAATTTGTATAACACGTTGACCCAAACGCACCAAATACGAACCAATACCAATGGTACGACAGGTTACCATGGAAATGGTAACAATTTCATCATAGGCCTGAGATGTTTCACCGGCAATTAAACCGGCATAACGTAAATTCTCAACTCCCAAACCATCATCTTTGCCAATGATGTCGGTAATTTTATATCTAGGTTCGCCTTCGTCTTCAATCAAAATGGCACGCACCGAATTCAAATGGGCCACCTTGCTATAATCTTCTGTGGTCAAGTATAAGTACTTGAAGCCCTTTTCAGGTTCTTCGGGATCTTCCCATGCTACACGGAACATGGATTTAACTTCTTCAGCCAGACCAATACGAGCACCACTGTTAACGGAAATGTAAATCTGAAAAAAGGGAAATATGAAATTATTTTCCATTTTGAAATATGGGAGGAAATCCCTTCCTACTACTCACCCTTGGAACTTTTCTTTCTCGGGCCAATTGTGAAGCCTTGTGGAAGACAATATCTTCTTGTATGCCAAAGGAACCAATGAAATAGGTCAAATCATTGGCAATGACAATCATTTCACGACCCTCTGGATATTCGGGAGTGGCCAAGATAATGCGCCAGGCTACCATACCACACTAGACGAAAGAAAGAAAAAGAAACATTATTATCTCACTGCAAACCGAGTAAACATTTTCTCAACAAAACACTCACAGTATTCTCTCCTGGCAAACGCTTCATTTCCACCAAATTATCACCCTCCAACACCAATTCAACACACTCAATCAATATCTTTTCTGGTATACGAACATCTACGGTCGGCCTAGCCTTGGAGAATTCCTTCCAATGACGTTCAGTCATTTGACGGAACATATCGGGAATGTCATAGACATATGTGGTGCCATTACTTTGAGCTTGGAAGCGTTTTTGTTGCAGGAAATCTTTGGTCATGTAGGGTGTGGAGATGGGCAGGCCATGTAGGGAACCCAGTTTATCACCATATGCCTTGAATTTAATTATACCCGTGAGAGGATCAGTCTGTTCGGTGTACATGGAAATGTCCAAGAAATAACCCGAATCATTGGCGATGCACAGACGAATGGCCTGTGTGGGTGCCTGAGGAGATTGACGAATCAACATTTTCAATTCAGCCTGCAAAACACGCAATTTCCACAGTCTGGGACCGTAGCGCATAATCATCTTAGTCACCGACTCTTCAATTTTGGCCGGATCCATAATAACAGTGGGCACGAAGTTCAAGAAAATGTGATTACAATCGGTACGCTTGGCATGGGGATGCGAGAATGCAACTTCCAATTCATCCATGGCTTCGAGCAGCACACGTTCACCCTCGTTTTGTAGATACTCGAATGAAGCCTCTTTGGTAATCAAATCGGAATGGCGAATAATGGAACGAATGAAGAAACGATAATCGGTCACCTCTTGACCCTGTGATACCTTTGCACGACCCAAATATAAATGCATTTTTTGATTGGCAGTTGGCAATGCTTCGAGATCGTAAGTTCTCATGCGATTCAATTCCAATTGGAAGGCGCAGGCAGGTTCTAGATGGCGATAGATGCGATCTTCTTCGAAGTTATCACGGGCACGATATGTGAAGAATTTGGGGAATTGGCGTCTATGGAAAACACAAACAAGAACACATTACAAAAAAGTCAATAAAAAAGCAACAACAACTTACTTCTTCAATGCAGCAAAGGTTATGCGGCGAATACGTCGTTGCAACAATTCTTCACGATGTAATTTACAATAGTTGCCGAAAATCTGGGCCATTTGGACATCATCCATATCACCGGTTTCGCGAACAGCCACACTAATAATATGTATGGGTTCAGTTGACTTGGCCTCTTCAGCAGCATTGGCTCGGGTAATGGGATCGGAGAGGGAGACATTAATTGAGGTACTTAAACGGCCATCAGACATGGAATCGACAGCATCAACGGCCTCCAAAACCTAAAAGACAAATTTGTTATAAACACAATTTTCCAACAAAACTCTTCTCTCTCCCAACTCACCTTGGCACTAACAAATGCAGGTGAAGCCAAATCCTCCAACAAATCCAAAATTTCATCAGAATACATTTCGAAATGTTCAAAGGAATCGAATGCCGACATGCAACCAGTACGCAAGAAGGTATTACTAACTGTCTCAGGTGCACCTTCAACGCCATCGTGAGACATGCGTGAATAAAGGCGATTTGGATGGGCAGTGGGCAGGAGGAATTGGAAGTGAACCAATGGCAAACCTCCAGACAATTCCAAGTGTTGTAAGCAAGTCAACTCATATGAGGTGTAGGCTCTGCGCACGTAGACTTCCAAGGCAGCGTTACATACCGCCCGATTGGTGTGATAGAAGAAATCGTGAAGAATATCAAAGATCGAGGTCTCCGAAAGGATAAGACGTTGCAAGTTCTCAGGATGGAAATCATGACCGTACATATCAACAGCCGAAAGGAATATCGACTCCATTTGATTGTGTCTAAGTTCATAGGCTGGTTGATGGGCGGCAATGAGCACCTGACGGGCACGTAAAGCAACGCGTGAATGTTCAGCACGATTCAACGAAGTCAATTCGTTTAAGGTATGAGCCAACTCATCTGTTAGACCTGGCTCATTGGCCCACAAATGATCGATCAGCAGGGTCACGAGCAAATTCTTCTTGGCCACTTGGGAATGTGAGAAAATTGTATTCACCACAGTTTCCATATCATCCTTATTCCGTTCTCTAACCAAGCCCACACATTTGTCATAGTGGCCATGTTGGAACTGTGATTCGACATCGTAGTATTGACGCAACAATTCATGGACAGCGGCCTTCATGCGACCGCGAATACCATTACGATAGCGTTGCACCAATTGTACGATACCCTGAGTGGTGAGGAAGAAATGATCACGGTCGGCCCTCTTTTGTAATGTGGCAGCATGGAAATCGATGACACTGGCAATTTGTTGCGAGGGGAATTGGGCCAACACACTGGTAATGTTTCTCTCATACAAAGTCATCAGCTTGCGGATCTTCTTCTCCACGGAAATTGGTATTCTGCCCGAAATGGAAGCAATCACCTCCTGCAATTCCAGCAAAGGCAAAGAGGGGTCTCTCAAACTTTGCATGAACTTTTCGATGACATCACGCAAACGTTGGGCATTATACGGCTCGGGTAGACAATAACCGGCCAAGGTATTTTCCAAAATAGTTTTGTATGTGTTATGGACACGGTTGAGTTTTTCGGGTACTGGAGGATTTTCAGGTTGTGGGAATTGTCCCTTGTAGGGTTGGGCTTTGGTAACCAGGGAGGGATCATCCAATTCCAAATGACCCAACATTGAGCCAGCATCTAGAACAGCACCAGGTCTACGTACAAAGGATACGGTACCAGCTTCCTGGGAAGTTAAAGTCATAACCATTTTCATAACTTCGATTTCGGCATAAGCCTGACCCTTGTTGACATGGGCACCATCTTCGACAAGTAAATTAACCAATTTACCAGCCGAGGGACTGCGCAACAATGAAGGATCATTTTCCTTTTCAAATACGCAAGTTTGGTTGCCAATAACAATGCGATAACGATCCACCTCCTCCTTCATGTAGGTGGTGAACGAAGCGCCATCAAATGATAGCAGCATACCACCATCAGATAGACGATGCACCTCCAATTCCTTAAAGGAATTGTTCATCAAAAGGAAATAGGTGTTGGCACCACTCTTGGCAGCCTGTACCTTATAGCGAATGCCGCCGTTGATGAGTTCCACATCGATGACATTGGTGAGGGTGTTGGCTGCTTGGATTTGACCCTTTTCAAGGGAGGTTTGGAAACTATTGAAAGCTTCGGTGATTTGCCTATCAGCGATGTGTAAAGCTCCACACATAACACCCAATAGAATGTCGGGTTTCTCCGATTGGACTCTTTCGGCAATCAAGGCATCCAACCAGGCGGTATCAATGGTGTTATCCAAAAAGCTATTGGTTTCCAATAAAGTAATCAGGTACTCCACCGTGGTACGGAAATCACCACGAATCGAAAGTTCTTTGAGGGCGATGACCAAATTTTCACGAGCCTGTTGACGATTTTCACCCCACGAGAAACAATGACCGAACTGAGAATCGGCAAACTCGTGAAGACCACCAGAAGCGGCAACACTGAAGTAACCCCAAACATTTTTACTGGAACGGAAATTCAATTCTTGTACGGTACCCGAACTTGGTTTGAAGCCTTCGTCAGGATTTTCAGATGTAATACGGGCAGCAATAACATGACCCGATGGGCGGGGTTTGTTTGGAGGATTCTCGAAATCAATAACAGATGTTCCCCAGGGTGATTCTCCATAGAGCAGACGGATGTCTTTCAGACGATACAGCGGTATACCCATTCCAATTTGCAATTGACAAGCGGGAAGATTGACATCTGCCACCATTTCGGTACATGGATGCTCTACTTGCAGACGAGGATTCAATTCCAAGAAGAAATATTTGCCTTCAGCATCGTACAAATATTCGACAGTACCAGCACTGACATAGCCCACCATTTTGGCTAAACGCACCGCGGCCTTTTCCATATCTTCGAAAATTTCCGGATGGGCAACAATGGCTGGAGCTTCTTCAATGATTTTCTGATGACGTCTCTGAATGGAACAATCACGACCGAAAAGACTGATGGCATTGCCATACTGATCGGCCAACAGCTGTACTTCTAAATGGCGGGCACCACGAGCCAATTTCATGACGAAAATTGGCGAGCCAGGAACTTCAGCTTGTACTTGACGGAAAAGGGCGGGGAATTCCTCGGCGGTGTCGACACGACGAATACCTTTGCCGCCACCACCTTCGGAGGCCTTAATCATGACAGGAAAGCCTAAAAAACAATTATGAATGCCAAAGTTAGCATGTGTTCCATGTGTTTCCCAATTTTGATTAATGTTAGTACATACCAATTTTGCTTACAGCTGCCAAACCCTGTTCCACATTACTAACGCAACCACGTGCAAATAAATCACTGGAGATTTTGATTTTCTTGCCACTGTATTGGGCTTTCAAATCCGAACCGGACCATGGCAAAGTGGGAATGTCTGCAGTTTGGGCCACAATCGATGAGGCAACCTTGTCACCCAAAGCCCACATGGCTCTTTCGGGGGGACCCAAAAAGATGAGATTTTCTTTATGCAACAATTCGGGTAATTTTGGATTTTCCGAGGCATGACCCCAACCAGCCCAAACAGCCTATAAGAGAGAAAAATGAAAGAGGAGAGAGAGAGAGAGAGAGTTAGTCAGCAACAATTGTCGTTTATTTCAATTCATTGGTTTTAATTAGTAAACAAATATCAGGCGATATTCCGTTTTGAAATTAATTAGCAAACATTCATCATCACTCACCTGTACTTGAGTACGTAAAGCAATGTCAACAATCAATTCCACATTGGCGTAATTGTTGTTATTCGAACCTCCGGGTACTGGGACGTAATGATCGGCCATTTTAATGTATTCAGCATTTGCCTTTAAATCTTCCGGTGTGACCATAACAACAAAGCGAATGGCCCGTTCATTTTTGAACATTTCATAGGACCAACGCCTAATCGAACGCATACACTTGACGGCAGCAATGCCATTGTTGGCAATTAGAATGCGATTGATGACACGAGTACCACCGAATTTCTTAACAAATTCTTCGGGTGTTGCAATGTGAAAATCACGATCCTGATAACGATCCTGGCCGAGTCCGGTGCCGCGAGACATACTCGGTCTGCAAGTAGAAGAGAGAAAGTTGATAAGGAATGGATTAGAATTGTTTAAAAAAAGAGAAAAAATAAGTTTATATTTTTAGGTGACAGTAAGACATGTGAACCCATATTTTTATACCCTCTACCATAGTATGGAGGGTATATTAATTTTGTCATTCCGTTTGTAACTCATCGAAATATTCATTTCCGACCTTATAAAGTATATATATTCTTGATCATGGTGAAATTCTAAGACGATCAAGGCATGTCCGTTGTCCGTTGCAATCACACAATTTGTTGTTGTTGGGTACCAAATTTCTTCACTAAAAATTATAAATATTGTCCCATTTTTTCAGGTAGCCCCCATATAAGGGCACCTCCAATTTTCGGTATTTTGAGGTTCTTGAACGCATTTTTCAACCGAATTCGGTGTAATTTGGTATTTTATAGTGGCGCATATGGTAACAAATCTGCCCACCAAAAATTATTAATATTATATTAGTTCCCATATAACCCCCTTCTTATATTAAAATAGTTAGCTGATTAGTTCCGTGTCTAGGGGTTGTCCTGTGTTCTACAGTAGAATAGGGGATAATCGTTACTCGAAATAGTTAATTTTACCCTACAAATTATGGAATTCTATGACGATTTAGCCATCGATTGTAATCATTCCGCTTTCTAAGAAAATCTTGATAAAAAAAACTCGAACCTGGCGATAATGAAATATACCGGCCACCATATAATTATACCTCCTGGTACTACCCTGGAAAGGGTAGTATTAGAGAGTCGGGAGTAGTTTGGTGTACATATAGGTTTACATAAATCGGTATGTAGCATTATCGGTATAGGTTCACTTTTTGGTACGTTCCCTAAAATTGTCTTCCAAAGAAATGTTCTTTACGGTTTTCTTAAGGAGAAACGGCATCATTATGGAATTGTTCTTTTTTTTAGCAAACGATGTTTATACAGACCTATTATTAAGTCCAATTGGAATATCAATATACGATTACCTCGACCTATCTCTCTACAAGATTAACATGTCCTTTAAGTCTTCTTTTTTTAACACAGATATTTTAACATATTTAAATATGTAAGTATGTAAACTTAAGAAACAAAAAAAAAAAAAAGAAAAAAACAGCATATTTAATTTATATATAATTAATACACTAAATTTTGCATGTTTGTTGTTACTATAAAGTCCATAGTCTTTTGTTAAAAGTCTCAATGAAATTCACACTTGGATTATTTAATATGGTTTCTTGGTTGTTTGCAACAACAACAAACCATAAAAAATAACGAAAATTTCCATTTCACATTGGAACGAAAGTTGAAAAAAATAAATATATAAATTCCGGTTTCATAGCAAAAGTATATAGCATGTAAATTAATTTCAGTATAAAAAATCACAAAATAATTACTAAAAATAACCTCGAATTCAATTCAAGTACAATGAACTGTCGTCACAAACATTGTGTAGATCAAACGATAGCGAATAATATTAATTAAAATTCTAATAAGACTTATAAATTGTGGAAGATTTTGTTGTTTTCATTGAACACGTAGTAGTATTTTTTTTAGCATAAAAGGGATTTTTATGTTGCATAATTTTATTTCTAAATTCATATACAATTTTTAAAGTCTTTGGATTATTATTGCAATATTAATTATTGAACAAATATATATATATATATATATATATATAATTTAAAAATTATAAGAAAATTCTATTGTTAAAATAACCTGTATTCAATTTAATCTAAAATGTATTTATTTTAGACATTTTATTTGTTTTTATTTAAAAAAAAAATACTTTGAAATATACGTCTATTAACCTAAAATAATTTAGATTTCTTAGATTCTTAACCTCAAAAGTTATTTATTTTAGACATTTTTATTTGTATTTATTAAAAAATGACTTTGAAATATAAGTGTATTAACCTAAAATAATTTAAATTTGTTTAATTTTTAATAATATGCAATGCTTGTTGCAATTACTGAAAAAAATAATGAAACATTTTTAAATGCCAATTTTTAATTTAATAAAACTGAAAACAATTAAAAAGTAAACATCTTGTTCAGACTTGTTGTTGGTAAATCATATCAATAAATAACAATACAGGGCTAAACCCAAATCAGATCTAATAATAAGATCAATAATCTTGATAATTTCTAAGCAAAGAAAAAAATAATAATAATAAAATAATCATCAAAAAGAATTACAAATAAATAAATAATAAACAAAAATGATAATATGAACGCAAAAAGTGATATTGCGCGGTTTTATCGCAAATCAATATTTTTATCAGATTACGCCATTCACGCTGTGATTTCGTGCCGAACAGAGAGACATAGCGATTATTACAAGAAATCCGAAAAATTATTATGCCTGCCTATTTTGCAATATCAAAATAAATGAATATCCCATCCCAAATGTTATTCCACCAAATAACCCGCCAACTCTACTGAAATATAGAAGAAATGTCAACATCTGAAATTCCTGCAATATTTAAAAAAAAAATAATCGAACAAATTTAGAGTGCGGGCGGGCGCTCCTATTTATATCTGAATCGACTACAATATTTCAATATTTAAATTGATTGAATTAAATGTCGTTCGGATAAATGTAGGGTCATCAGTGCATCATGATATCGGACTTATACCGAATTATATAAATTATCATTTTTATACCCTCCATTCGCTGAAATTTGGTACATAGGGTTCTTTTTGGGTACCAAATGTCTCTACTAAAATAATAAATATAGGTGCACTTTTTCTGATAGCCCCCATATAAGGGAACCGCACAATTTTCGATATTTTAGGGTATTTGAGCGTGCTTTTCAACTGAATTCGTGAAATTTGGTACATTGTTTTTTTTTCGAAATTACTAAGCAAACAATACTCGGTAAAATATGGAAAACATAAATATTTTTATTTTTTTTTCTCAGTTACAACAAAAATTTGTAACGATTAACAAAAGTCGGTGGAGTTGTAATTTTCGTACATAAAAACCATCGAATCGAAGAACAATAATAATTCATTATGTTATTAAACCATGTATTAATGCAGACAACGACAAAAACATCAACAAACCAAAAAAGAAATTACCACATACTATTGATTTTTTCAGCACTTTTTCCACACAAAGACACCTTTCTGAGTAAGAATACACCACAACAATAAAAACAAAAAATAATAACTAAATAATTTCCGCCTTTTTATTTGTGGCCAGTGGTCGGTCTACTCTCTCGTCACTTCTTGTCGTATTTGTATATACAATTTTGTACAATTGTCATAACTCTTATTACACTATTAAACGAAAAAGAAAATCAAACTATTATTTTGTCAATATTTTTCTTTATGAATAGCCGTTGCTTTCTTTTTTTTTTGTTTCTAATATTAACAGCCAAACAGGCCTAGTCGAACTGTGCCTGCCGGCTGGGTACTATTACAACTAATAGGGCCCCATCGCCACCAATCAACCATACCTTTTTTCACTGAAAAAACGAAAAGAAAACACGCGACGCACACATAATAGTCGGCAGCTCAATTTTATGTGCATATTACACACACACTTTACGAGTTGATTGTTGACAAAAAATCCAAATTATATCAGATAAAAAATTATATATTAACAAATTATCAAAATAATATTGAAGAGTGTAACACCATTCACAAATATACACGCTTTCTCTCTCTCTCTCTCTCTCTTTATATTATACAAGTGGGGCACACGTGTGTGTTTGTGTATTTTGTAGGTGTAAGAAAATAAAATTTAACTTTTATCACAAGTAAAACAATAAAAATTGAAATTGAACTAATCTTTTTTCTACGACATTTAATTAAAAGTAAAGAAATACAACTAAAACAACAAAATATAGAATAAGAGGAAGAACGAACACAAGAAAAAACAAAAACAAACAAAAATAAAATCATATGTTCGCTGCTGCTCTGTGAATATAGTAGAGTCTCTTATACATTATCATTCATACATATTGGGTGTTTTTTTCTTCCTATCACCATATGAACATCTATTGTCCACCAAACATACAGACAGACATAACAACAAATATAATAGAGAGATAGCCTTTGATGAACTGCCACCAAACCAATGAGACATGTAAAAACATATATGACAAAAATAACAATAGTATGAAAAATCGAAAAAAAAACAAAATAAAATATTAAAAATAATATACAGTAAAGTCCACTAAATAATATTTTGAGGTTTAATGTAAGGGTTAATTTAAAATCATATTAAAAAAGTGTTTTTATTTCTTGGTTTTGATTTGCTGTACGATAATAGATCAACAATTTCGTAACCAAATAAAATACAACCAAACTTTGAAGATATACATGTAACAAATTCCCAAAGTATTTTGTATATCTAAAAAATGACGTTCCTAAAGTCGTTGAAGATCTTTTGTAAGATTCTTTATATAGATTTGTTTCCTTTATTTTTGCGCAACTCTACAGATAGGGTCTATATTACAGATCTTATATTGATGAAACTTGTTTCCCCTAAGAAATTTGTTTCCACTAAAACAATATATTTCACACTTTAGTAAAGTTTTTTTTATGAAAGCTCAACATGTGTTCTATAAATACTTTGAATGGATGGATTTACTGTAAGTCCATAAAGACCCGCCTAACGGACCCTGAGCATTTTCTTGATGTAGAATTCTTTCTATAGGCTTTTTAGAGGTCCTGATTTATTTCTATAAAAATCGTTAACCAACAAACACACTATGCCTAATTAATGACCGACATATGTCAATTTCGAACCCAATATTTTTTGTTTTGTGTCTAAATTCGTTCTTTCAGGAGCTATAATTATATGGGGTAGATGCCTAAATGCTGGCCGATATATTTTTCATTATCGTTAGGTTTTAGTTTTTTATCACGATTTCCTTAGAAAGCGGAATGATTACAACCGATGGCTAAATCGTCTTAGAATTCCATAATTTGTAGGGTAAAACTGAATATTTCGTTTCTCGTCCCCTCTCTGTCCCCTATACTATGGGGA